TTTTTTTTCTTTTTTTTTGCCGAAACAATAGATTTCATTCAACTAAAAAGATTACAAGCCAGGAGACTAAATAGTCTCAATAGTTCCAAGGAGAACCACCCAAGGCAGTAGCCTAAATAAGGTAATACAAACAAACTAATACAAATACATCTAAGCAAGCAACACTTGAGAACTTAGACATATTCCCAATACATCAACAAATAATCGATTACAACAAAGAAAGATATACAGAATATGAAGGGCACTGAACTCCAAGAGACCTAGCCACAAGACAGCTCCATTACCCCTTCCTTTGTGCACTGGCTTTAGGTAATTCCATCCACTCATTCCAGGCTGCTTGGACAACTTCAAGCTCCGGCATTAGTGTATTCTGAGATGAACAGATTTCGGGACTTTCAGAGCCATCATAGGATGTAAGTGGACAGCTGGAGTCTCTTAATATGAATTTTTTTGTCTACTGATCACAGCATTCCACCACCAGCATTTGAAGTTCGACTGTTGATGCTTCAATCCATCCCATCTTACCATTGACAACTTTCATACCCTCTGAGCCCTAGTGCAGTTTAAGAGAACATGTTCAATTGTTTATGATATTTCTCCACACAACTGTCAAAATTGAGTCCACCTACATCGCTCTTTTCCTCAATCTAAAACTTACTGGCATGATTCCTGTATAGCATTTCCAGAAGAAATGCTTTAGTTTACCTTTAATTTTCATCATCCATCCCTCTGTCTTGCCCTTTGGTTTAGTAGTATGTTTGAGCCATTTTCAGCTATGCCCTAGTTCCTCATTGAGAATGCTCCTTTTCTGTCATAGGATTAACTCCACCTATCAGGCATGGTGGGATTTAGTGAGGTAATGCTTAAGATGTTCTCCACTTCATCTGCACCGAACAAGATTCCCAATTGATCTTCTTTCCAGCTCCTGCCATCCTCATTTAGAAGTTCGGCCACCCAAGTTAAGTTGTTAGTCATATCAGGTCTGAGGGAGTGGAAACCTGAAGAGTGATTTGGGATCCAAGGGTCATGTCAGATCATTGTAGTTCTTCCATTTCTGATAGTTATCTTGAAAGCAACCATGTGTCTGTCAAGTACCTTCATCCAATTCCTCCACATCCATGAAGCTTTGTAAGATGAACCAGCTTGGAGGATGGATCATGTTGGAAAATATTTGTCTTTTAGTACCTTGGTCTTCAACAAATTTGGATTGATGGCCACTGTACAAACTCGCTTTAAAATGAGAACTTCATTGAAGAGGATGATGTTATGAAACCCAAGTCCTCCATCTTGTTTGGGTGTGGTGAGTAAGTTCCAGTTCTTCCAATGTAGGCCTGGTTGTAATTCCTCACCTTTGCTCCACCAAAAAGAGGCACTTAAACTCTGGATCACCTGAAATATTCCTTTGGGGAGACAGAAGCAAGACATGGTAAAAATAAGCATAGCATTTATGACAGATTTGAGGACCTCCTTGTCAGGATTAGAAATGAACCTATTTTTCCATTTCACAAACTTGGACCTAACAGCCTCCACAGTTAAAACATTATTTTTTAACTGTCCAATACCCAAGGGCAAACCAAGGTATCTTGTAGAAGTTTGAACCTGAATTCCATGACGGATTTAGCGCCCCGTTCGTTTATTAGAATTTTCTGAATATTATATTATTATCTATCTGCTTATTATTGATTATTTTCCTTTGCGTTATTTATTTACCGGTTATGATTTTAACTTCTCGTCTATTTTATCTGTTTATTTATTTAAATGCTATGTGACATTATCTATGTGAAT